CCAAAATTGTATATAAGCAATTGAATGAAAGAAGTTTCAAGATAATCTACTTAAATTCAAATATATTTGAAATTCTACATCAAATTATGAACAGGGGAAAGAAATTTTACAAATAAATGTTTAAAATTAGGTAAAAAGTTTTCGTCCGTTTATGAAAGGTAATAGTAGTAATCATTTGTAGTTGGAATAATCCATGGAATAATTTTAAGGGTTTCTTGAATGAAAAATAAAAACTCAATAATAAGCTATTTCATCAGCATCGTTACACAGTCACAATATAAACATTAAACATCACATACAAAATGTTTACAAAAAATACAACAGTACACATCTTTCAGATATTTTAAATGTTTTTATTGGTTTGTACAGAATTAAAAAGGTATACCAAAATACCATTATTTAAATGTTGAATTATTTAAATGTTTGACCAAAGTATTGTCCAAATGTTATTTTTAGAAGCAAAGAAATAATTTTGTCCCTTCTCAAAGTCTCAGTCTGATATTTCTAAGAAACAAGAGAATCTTGTTAGAAACAAAGAAAAGACAATTGATCTGTTTTGTTGTTGATGCCTTTCAAATGTTTCTGGGTAAGTATTAAGAAAAAGAAAAAAAATTTTGGAAACAAAGAAAAGAGTGTTATTTTGTTAATACTAATCACCCATTTTCCCAAATCTAAGTACAGTGCCCTTTCCAGGACTGAACTTATTAGAAACAAAGAGGAGAGTAAACTAAAACTTTAATCCATATGGGTTACTGAATACTGATGATGAAAAAATTCATAATATGATGAATAGACTTGCCTTCTTCTAAATGTATATACAACGACTGCCTAAGATATATTCTATCTTAAACATGTGAGCAATGTTGGACTTTATTGAAAACAATAAATAAAAACTTATACTGAAACATCAGGAAATGTGGTTGAAATTTTTCTAATGAGGACATAGAAAATTTTGACAGATTATTCCTCGCAAGAGGGATATTTAACAACGTATAACCTATTTGATTCAGTGAAATAGATAGCGGAACAAGGTTTAGGAGAACTAACAAAAAGACAAGATTTGTTAAAAGCTACAAAGGATAGGAAAGGGTTGAGAGCCTTGATCAACAATGTTCTGTCAACACGGAATGCCCTTGACGATAGACGGATGCTGAGAATAATGGATATCAGTTATTTTAAATATATAAATAAACATATTATTTATTAATTATGAAATCAAACCCGTTTTACATTTTTTTTGTCGTTAAATACTTTTGTCAAACTTTTCAACACCCTTTTTTTTTTCTTCTTTTTTTTTTAATAAAAAAATTTTTTCTATAATTGTCTGAGTTCGAGTTTTTTTTTCGGACCTCTTCCGGGTCCACTACATTATTTGAAATTTTTTAATCCTTAATAATACAATGCCCAGGTACCACTCAAGGCAATATTAGACTACGGCAACAAAGGGCGAAGATTTATTTCTTTAAAAACTAAATGTATGATTGAGCGAACAGCTGCCTAGAAATAGCGTCTAATACTGAAAGGCATACGTTTAAATGTATGATATAAATAATTCATAGTACCTTTTTAACTATCTCATTTGGACTCTAAGCTAATGTGAGGACCATCTACCATCCCAATATAGCAGCAATATTATCGATTTGTATCTCCCTAAATATCACTAATCTGTATTCCTATTTTTGTCAAAAATTATAAAATAAATGTGTTTTTGTTATAAATTATTGAAATATCCAAACAATTATATATATATATATATATATATATATTAATGATCAAATCCATGGAATAAGAAAAAAACAAATGGACTTATCAATGTAACATACATTTAATCAAATGAATGAATATTTTAAATATAACCTCACAGGAAACTTGAAAAGTTGTTTGAATTAAAATAATTGGCCAGTCAAAAAAAATGAAAAAAGAGGGAATATTTTGGCCTATAAAGGAGGAGGGGAGTTATATAATCTAAAGTAATTGTCTATTTAACCTAATCTGGTTGTAGTTACGTTCTAAAATTTTCACCTTTCAACACCTATGCAAAGAGAAAAAAAAACAGCGTAAAAAATTCTAGAGGAGAGGGTAGTACGAATTTAAAGTCAATACTTTTATAAAACTATTTGTCGCCATATTTGTCACAACATTTTTAACCGTTTAGTCGGCCTTCTTCAAAAAAGTTTAAATTTCGAATTAACCCATTAATTTCATTTAAATTTAACCAATCTCATTATATCAATTGGATTAAGTTATCAAAGTCCTGCTAATTTTCCCTCTGAAAGTTCTCCACTGCCTTAACCAGGAATTGAACTCACCTTCTTTGGGTCTGTCACTGGATCTAACCAACGCCTTTATCCACTGTGCCATGTGTCCTTGAGGACATCTGGGTATGAACTTCTGAGTATTATAAACCTAATGTTTTCAGCATCATTTTTACCAGTGCTCATATTGCAATTTTTGCTGTTATCATTGCATGTTTTTACCAGAGTTCATATTGCAACTTTGTTATCATTGCTTTTCTCTGGCACTCCTTATTACTGGTTCCCATATTGTATTTATTTCTATGCTTGGTCGGCTCAGAAGATTTTTGTGGCCTAGCATATGTGCTGATTCCTTAAGTTTACGAATTTTCCAATGGTGTTCCCTGTCTATGATCTCAACATGATCCCACAGGGGCGGTGATCTCCTTCTCTCTCCATATGTGGTCAGCCACGCCTGATTTTTTCTACTTCCCCTCGCGTTACAGCTTTCTGGTGTTCTTGAAGCCTTACCTTGAGGGGGCGGCCTGTCTCTCCTTTATATTCCTTTCCTCAGCTGCACGGGATAGCGTACACACAGTCTTTAGTCATGTTCCTCTCTATGGGGGGTTCTCACTCGTGAGAGATATCTGCGAAGTGTTGTCACGCTTTTGAAGGTTGTCCTGATGTTATATGGACCGCAGATCCTTTGTATTTTCTCTGATAACCCCTTCACATAAGGCAGGCAGACTGTTTTCTGAGTGTTGTTGTCCTCCTCCTCCTCCTCTTGTACCCGCCTATCCCAGTTTTTTGGGGCTGCTGCCATGTACCCAGGGTAGTTGTTACGTTGTAGGGTACTACTTATACTGACCAATTCCTTATCTAACGTCTCTGGATCGCCACTTATGACTTTTGCTCGGTGTTGTAAGCATCGGACGATCCCTTTCTTTACGCTGTATGGATGGTGGGAGTTGAAATTGAGGTACTATCCTGTGAATGTTGGTTTACGGTATACGGATGTCTTGAACCCATGCTCTGTTTGAGATATTAGTACATCCAGGAATGGGAGTGAGTTTTTACTCTCTTTCTCCATTGTGAACTGTATCGAAGGTCTTATTGAGTTCACATGGTCCAGAAGAACCTGGACTTCTTCCTGATGTGACCAGAGTATGAAGGTGTCATCTACGTACGTAACCATATAGTTGGCTTTAGAGATATAGACTCTAATGCCATTTCTTCAAAAGTATTCCATGTATATATTCGCCATTGCTGGTGATAATGGCGAGCCCATTGCTAAGCCCTCATCCTGTCGATATATGTGAGATCCCATTCCGAAGTGTGTTGTTTGTGTACAGAAAGTCAACATCTCCATCAGATTATCTATTGGAATACTGGTCCGCTCCTCTAGGGAAGAGTCTGAGGTCAATCTATCTCTGACTACTGAGAGTGCCTCCTCCGTGGGTACCTTGGTGAACAGACTCACCACGTCCAAGCTCACCATCTGGTTGGATAGGATGGGAGCATCTTTGATTATTTCCACGAAGTGGGCGGAGTTTCGGACATATGAAGGAGACTTTCCGATCAATGGGTCAATTATATCCACAAGGAAGCGACTCAGAGAGTGGCACACAGAGCCTTGGCAACTAACAATCGGCCTGAGTGGAATACCGTCTTTGTGAATCTTAGGGAGACCGTATATGTGAGGTAACTTGGTGGAACGCTGCGATAACTGCTTATACGTCTTGGGTGCGAAGTGATCCTTGTTCTTGATTAGGATCTTACTGAACTTATTCACAAATGAATGAAATTATATATCTCCCTATTAGAAAATTTTCATCTTTATTTCTATCTCTCTCAAGCTATTCGTACGTATAACGGTCTGTCTGTAATTATTTATCTGAGATTTCAATAAAAAAAAACGTTTTCAAAACTGCCAGTATGAAGCCTTTTTTTGTTTGTTTCACTTTTTGAACCACACCACTTAGCTCCCATCAAACGTATGTTTCTTTTCTCTCTTTCAACCGAAGTTTAGGATAAAAATTTGTATATCTATCTATCTATCTATCTATCTATCTATCTATCTATCTATCTCTAAATAATCAGATAATTGTGAGATTTTAATGAAATCGACTAGACTTATTTATAAATGCATGTAATTATTTTTAAATGTTTCCTTTTTAGAAAATCTTGGTCTTAATCGCTATTTCTATCTATCTATCTATCTATCTATCTATCTATCTATCTATGTGCAACTTCATATCTGTCACAGTGTGTATACGCACATGCATGTATAGTGTCTATTTCTCTTCATTTCTGTCTATCTATCTATATATCTTCATCAGTTTACCTCTAAATGCTTCGTTATTCTCATCAAATCAGTCTCTGATTTTGGCTTACCAACGTTAAATACCCCTTTTGTAACAGAGAATATCTCTTCTCGTGCATTTAGCCATGAAGGTGAGTTGACAGAGGTCGCAAGATGAACTTGACGAGCATTTTGAGTTACTAGATCATGTAATTTGGCCACATTAAGATGTTTTGGAAGTTTTACAGTTTCTCTATTCTTAGCTGGTTTGATTATCAAATTCATTTTTGATCTCATGAGAGCGTGGCCGGTCCAGCAGTCTGCACCTTTAAGAGACTTTACATTGCATATCCCGTTTCCGGACAATGATGTAGTCTATGAGTTGCCATTGTCGAGATCTTGGGTGCATCCAAGTTGTAGTGTGGTCCCCTTTGTGACGAACCTGTGTACTTGCGATATGCATGTTAAATTCCGTGCACAGTTAGCGTTATGTTCCCAGAGGGTGAAATGTGTTTGTGCCAAGAAAGATAAGAAGATGGAATGAAAGAATAAACTGTTAACAAACTTTATTAAATGAAAAAACAGTTCGGATGGTTAGTGAAGCCGCTGCATGTGTAATGATAAGATGTGGGCCTCGGAGATCTGTGTAGCTTACATTCGTATCATGGCCAAACTCTCCCAGTACCCAGAATGGCCTGTGTTTCCGAAAAGGTAATGCAACAAGAAAACATTTTTCATCCTTCTGGCCAAAGGGGGGGGGGGGTAACTTTTCTTAGATATTTTCGTTAGGGTCAACTGTGCCCTAACAGTTAGAGATGGTGTAGCTCATTTCCATTAATTTTACGAATCCCATACCTTCCCAGACAGCTCCATATCTCTCAGTCACCAATAACCTTGGCGTTAAAATCGTTTAGCAAGGTGATTTTTTTCTGGCTCTGGAAAAGAGTTAAGAAGGGTACGCAGTTCCTCGTAAAAAGCTAACTTATCTGCCTCTTCGGCGATAAGTGTTGTTGCATAAGCACTAATAATGGTGGCATAGTGACCTCCATGAAGGTGTAATCGGAGGGTCGCCAGCTTGTCATTGTCGTCTGAAATTCGTGTCTCAGACATAGTTGCCATGTCTACAATTGAGTTCCCTGGCAACAATGGCTGTATGTTATACCATTTCTGCTCCCAGTTTGTGTCCATTGTTCTAATATCCGTATTTCCATGTGATTTTGAGCGCAAAACTTGTCATCTACCAGCCACGATACACTGGCCAGATTAATGGGTCAGACAATGTTTAGGTCACCTTTTCTTGACCTTCTCTAGCAATATTCTGGTGAGCAGTGTTGCCTTAAAAAGGGCTGTCCAGACATCCCTGGGAGCAACTGAATATTATCCCTGTCCCCGTGAAAGTAAGCAAGCGATTGTATATATACCTAGAGGCCGCCAAGTGTGCAGGTCAGGAGCTACGTACTGTTATTCCGTCATACCCATACACTTTGCCACATCGCCATTGCCACTGAACTTTGAGAAGACATCACACATAGATGTCAAGTCTGTTATCAGACAACAGATGATGATAAACGAAGAAGAACAAAATACGGGAAAGATTTCTCCAGAAACACCTTTCTGTAGAACAATAGCAACAGCTCACCTAGCAGTTCAAAGAAGCCAAATCCCGTGCGCAACCCACATTACGAGAATTAGAAGATAATGCGGAAATGCAATCGACCGCAGAGAGTAATAACAGCAAAGTGTTCTATATTTTTATGAAAAAAGCATTTGGTCCTAAAATGGCAACAGTTACACCATTGAGATCTAAAAATGGCAATCTACTGCTTACTAGGGTAACTGGCATTTCTAAACGCTGGAGGCAACATTTCTCAGAATTGCTGAATAGACACAGCCAAGTCGATCATCAATCTAGAACAACGAACGGTAGTGGAACCAGGTAGAAAACACATGGTTCGAATCATGCATCAAATTATTATTATTATTAACATCTGTAAGAAGGTGCTCTCCAAAAAGATTGGAAAGATGGTATTCTTGTTCCCTTGTATAAGGGAAAGGGTGCAAAGGAATTGTGTATTCATTTCTGTTGTTTTACTCTGTTGTCTTCTGTCAGTAAGATCCGTGTAGATATCATGCGCTTACGATTAGCATATATCGTGGACACGATTATTTCTAGAATCCTAATGCGGGTTCCAATCTCACAGAGGGACGATGTACATGGTGTTCACCGCTCGTCAGCTGCAAGAAGAGTCGTATGAACAACAAGGTTACTTCCAAGACATTTTAGAGCTGACAAAAGCATTTGATACTGTACACAGGGAGCTTCTCTAGCAAATTTTGCGTCGGCTTGGTTGACCAAATCATTTCTTCAGTCCTTTTACGACTAGATGGAAGTCTCAATTAATGCTGGTTGTCTACTTTCGGAGCCATTTAAGGTAACCACGGGTGTGAATCAGGGAGACCTAGTAGCACCTACGCTGTTCTCAATATTCTTTTTGTGGTTTTATTTAAAGTTTTCGTAAATTGTTCGCATGGATTCTACATTTGATATCACACTTCTTGTAGACTACTTAATCTTCGACGTCCATCCTATCAGCCATCACGAAAACATTGAAATTTGATTAAGTATCTCATAACGAAGAGGTCTCTGATGGAAATTCTGTCGTCATTCAAGGCCTCACTATCATTCAATAATCCTCTCATGTTCGACTGGCACCAGGTCAAACACATATTGAACCTTCAGTATATGAGTATGGCCAGAGTTTGCAGTGCCATAAACAGGCAATGTACCCTCGATGATGAAATAACAAGTTGCGATAAAGGGGGAATTAGTCAATCCTGATCTTAATCAATCACATCATGAAAACAGCATTTAAACGGACACCATGGTATCATTTGGCACGTCTAGTTAACCATCATGTAGTCTTGCAATGCATGGGTCACATACAGAAGGCACCTGTCAACTATGGTGAATTCATCCAGCTAGCTGACTAAGTTGTGATGAATGCTAGAAGATATGCCAAAGTCAATTATGGTTGACTCGACACATCAAGCAAAGCATCACCATCAGGAAAAACAGCAGATGCACCAGCAACAACTCCAAAACTTACAAACAGATCAAAGATGCTTCACTACTTCAGCATTATTTAGAGTCTCGAATACTTTGGCGAAAAGCAGTAAGAGAATATTAAGGAGATAAATTGAGTGGTCAGAGGGTTTTCCCGAGTTTTTAAAAATAGGAACTACAGAGAACTTTCGACAGGCTAGACAACAGGAAGCAGCAAGGCAATAATTGTAAAGTTTGGATAGAGCTGGAGTCAGTTCAAGTGAACATTTCTTTAGGGCGATGGTTGAGATTCGTTTGTCTTGTGACTGCTACGATAGTCAGCTGCCTAGATAGATAGATAGATAGATAGATAGATAGATAGATAGATAGATAGATAGATAGATAGATAGATATGGTTCTACTTCGACGGATGAGGTTCAACTTAGATACAAAGATAGATATGCTTCTACTAAGGTAAATAGATATCTGTCTATTACGATAGATAGATAAATATGTAAGTAGGTATGTAGATAGACAGATATGCATGTAGGTAGTTTCATAGATAGATAAATATGGCACTACTGGCATAGATAGTTTGTGAGAAAGCTACAAATGAAGATGAAGGGGCAAGTCACAATATATATCGTAAGTTCTTACATGTGCGTATGCAAAATGACATAGATATGACCATGCTTTTAAAAAATAATTTCATTCATTTCTGAATAATCCTACATCTTCCATTTTAAAACCTAACAATTATTTGATTTTTGCAAGTTTTTCAAAATCAATGTGTTTTTCACTGCCAAAAGATTCCCAAATTTCCTGCACCGATTTCATTTAGGTATTATTATGTTGATGCAAGAAAAACAAGATTTTTAACAAAATGGATTAAAATTAAAAAATCATTTTTACATAAAAAAAAAATCCTTTGGCATTCCTCTTAATCGTAAAACAAAGTTTTTCGACAATAAAACTTTCTTTTGTTCAGTCATTTTTCATTCACACCCTTTTTCTTCGAATAAAGACACATTTCTTTTTATTCTGTACAAAATCAAAATAAAATGCATCTGCAACTTCCTGCTCTCCTTGTCTACACAAAGTTTTATCTTAAATTTAAGTCGAAAGAGAGAAAAGAAAAACACGTTTGAAGGAAGCTAAATGGTTTGGTTAAAAAGTGAAACAAACGAATGGCTGACCTGAAAACAAGTTACTTTTTTCATTGAAGTCTCGTTAATATTAATACCTATATCAGAGATAGGTAAATAGATATAAGTCCACTGAGATAGATGGTTAGTTTGGTAGATAGATATCGATATGAGTCCATGGAGATAGATGGTTATTTAGGTAGATAGATAGGTACGTGGGTAGATAAGTTGAGAGAGCTACAAATGAAGATGAAGGGACAAGGTACTATGTGAGTGCATGTGTGTATGCAAAATGAGATAGATAGATAGATAGATAGATAGATAGATAGATAGATAGATAGATATGAACAGATTGGTAAGGATAGATAGATAGATAGATAGATAGATAGATAGATAGATAGATAGATAGATAGATATTAACAGATTGGTATAGATAGATAGATAGATATTAACAGATTGGTATAGATAGATAGATAGATAGATATTAACAGATTGGTAAGGATAGATAGATAGATAGATAGATAGATAGATAGATAGATAGATATTAACAGATTGGTAAGGATAGATAGATAGATAGATAGATATTAACAGATTGGTAAGGATAGATAGATAGATAGATAGATAGATAGATAGATAGATAGTATATATGAACAGATAGATAGATAGATAGATAGATATTAACAGATTGGTAATAGATAGATAGATATAGATAGATAGATAGATAGATAGATAGATAGATAGATAGATAGATAGATAGATTGGTAGATAGATAGATAGATATGAACATAGATAGATGATAGATAGATAGATAGATAGATAGATAGATAGATAGATAGATAGATAGATAGATAGATAGATAGATAGATAGATAGATAGATAGATATGAACAGATTGGTATAGATAGATAGATAGATAGATATGAACAGATTGGTATAGATAGATAGATAGATAGATAGATATGAACAGATTGGTAAGGATAGATAGATATGAACAGATTGGTAAGGATAGATAGATAGATACAAATGGAGATGACAACCGAGCTTTTCCTAAAAGGAAATATTTAAAAAATAATTTAATTCAATTCTGAATAAGTCCCTCAACTTTCATTTTAAAACCTAACAGTTATCTGATTTCTGCAAGTTTTTATTTATTGTTCACTGGCAAAAGACTATCAACTTTCCCATACTAATTTAATTTATAGTATCATTTTGATGCCAGAAGAACAAGATTTTTAGCGAAAAGGATTTTTAAAAAATCATTTTTATATCAAAAATCCTTTGCTCATTCCTCTTCTTAATCGTAAAACAACGTTTTAATTTTTGACGATAAAATGTTGTTTTTGTTTAATCATTTCCCATCATTTATTCACGCCCTTTTTCTTCTATTAATAAAGACACATTTTCTTTTATTCTGAACAAAGTGAAAATAAAATGAATCTGCAACTTTCTGCTCTCCTTGTCTAGACAAAGTTTTTTATTCTAAATTTAGGTCGAAAGAGAAATGAAAAAAAATACATTTGAGGGCAGCTAAATGGTTTGGTTAAGTAGGTACTTGCATGAGGTTGCTGGAAAATGAGCATAGCAGGATAATAAAGGCCTTAAACTTGATGAAAACAAATTTTTATACTCAAAATGTTTATGTTTTTATTCAGAGGAAAGAACAAAGTAATTTTTAATTATTTTTCAAATTTTTTCTGTCTTTATTAAAGCATTCTAAGTATTGATTGAAAAATATTGTTTCTCTTTATTAGCGTGTGGCCTACAAAATAACATAGAGGAGTTGTGTGTGTGTGTGTGTGTGTGTTTTTAATGCCAGTCATTAATTTTGAAAATCTTGTAAAAATAAAAATAATTGTCAGATTTTAATGAAACTTTTAGAAACTATTCACAAATTATGGAAATTATTATAAATATGTTTTAAAGTTATGGTAAAAAAAAATTTTATATTTATTACCCCCCCCTAATTAATTTAGTTTTAGTGATTAATTAGTTAAAAGCACAAGACTTTGAGGAAAGCAACTCATTTTTTTTTAGTTGACACCCTTCGACCTTAAAATTAGCTCTGAATTGTAACATACAAAACTTAATAAAACAAAGATATTATTCAATTTCAAAAGCTTTTAGTTGCTTTTTACTTGTTTGTAGGAATATGGATAATATTTTCTGAAAGCAAAAAACGTTTTCAATGAAAAATAAATTTTTACAACAATTATTTGTTATTTCTTAAATTATTTTTTTTTTTTTTTGCATTAAAGCTGTTAAATATTCTAAAATTAATGAAAATATTGTACACATTAGTCAATGGTGTTAAAGTAGATAAATATAATTTACGGATTATAAAATAAAGCTGCTTACAATCAGAAAGTTGCTAATAGCAATTATATATTAATACCTATATTGGAGATATAGACATTAATATACTGATATATGAGTCATGTATGAATATATGAGTCTATTGAGATAGATAGTCAGGTAGGTAGATAGATTGATATGACTCTGTTGACATTGATAAGTTGAGAGGGCTGCAAATGAAAATGAAAGGACAAGGTACTATACATATCGCATATGTGTATACAAAATAGATAGATAGATATAATTCTACTGAGATAGATATGAGTCTACTGAGATAGATAAATAGATAGAGAGATAGAGATGTCTGTATTGAAATAGGTTGAAGGTGTTATAAATGAAGACTAAAAGTCAAGGCTACATGTAAATCGTATGTGTGTATACAAAATGAGATCGATATGATCATGTCCATAGATATGTTATAAAATCAAATAAGACATATCTCGGCTGATTTGCAGGCAAATAAACTAACATACATGTAAGAGTGACAGCCGGATGTGAACGGGACAAGGCCCCGTCACAAAATGGCCATTATCGTTGTTTACGGATAAGCCCGACGCACGAGTTCCGATCGAAAAATAAAATATTTTAAAGTGTTTCTGTTTTTCGACCAATAAAAATGCTTCCCTTCTAATTATACTTGCGTCGTTTTACGAGCCTGTTAAGCCATAAAAAACGCTATAAAAGGGGTCACATGGGAAGTACAACAGCAGTCAACAGGAGGCCAAGGAAGAGACCTGTCACGGTCAGGCTGAGCGGTCAGCAGCAGTCAGCAGGAGGAATGCCACGCCAACCAGTGTGAACTACTATGAGAGATAAACCCAGACCGGGAGCCGTCTTATGTTATTTTCGAAAGCCTTTTCGATTAAATTTTACAACAATTATTTGTTATTTCTTAAATTAAAAAACTGCTAAAATTAAACACATTAGTCAATGGTGTTATTAAGGGATTATAAAATAAAGCTTTACAATCAGAAAGTTGCTAATAGTAATTATATATTAATACCTATATTGGAGATATAGGCAACAGGTCATGTATGAATATATGAGTCTATTGAGATAGATAAGGAAGATAGACCTGTCATTGATAAGGTCAAAATGAAAGGACAAGGTACTATACATATCGGTGTATACAAAATAGATAGATAGATATAATTCTACTGAGATAGATATGAGTCTACTGAGATAGATAAATAGATAGAGAGATAGAGATGTCATTGAAATAGGTTGAAGGTGTTATAAAATGAAGACTAAAAAAGGCTACATGTAAATCCAGTGTGAAAATGAGATCTATATGATCATGATAGATAACCCAAATAAGACCGGGATTTTTTATCTATGAACTATAACACAAGGTCAGGCCATGTTGTTTAACCCACGCACGAGTTCCTAAAAATAAAAATTTTAATCGACCAATAAAAATGCTTCCCTCTATTATTTGCGTCGCTAACAAACGCTTGTCAACGGGAGGCCAAGGAAGAGACGTGTCACGGTCAGGCTGAGCGGTCAGCAGCAGTTTCCTTCTTATGAACTACCATACATTGTCTATAAAAAACAGCTTGATATTTCCTTCTTGAAACCATACGCTTGTCTATAAAAGACAGCTAGATATGAACAGACAGATTGAGATGGATAGATAGATAGCTAGAAATAGATATGAAAACCGAGCTTTTTCTAAAAGGAAACATTTAAAAAAATTATTTCATTCATTTCTGAATAAGTCCCGCAACTTTCATTTTAAAACCTAACAGTTATCTGATTTTTGCAAGTTTTTCAAACAAAATCTATGTGCTTTTTAAATTTCTCATAAAATATAATTTATGGTTTTATGTTGACACTAGAAGTACAAGATTTTTAACGAATAGGATTTTAAAAAATATTTTTTATGTAAAAAGTCCTTTGGTCATTCCTCTCAATCGTAAAGCAAAGTTTTTGTTGACAAAACTTTCTTTTTGTTTAGTCATTTTCATCATTCATCGACACCCTTTTTCTTCAAATAAAGACTCATTTCGTACAAAATGAAAATAAAATGAAAATACACTTTCTGCTCTACTTGTTTTGAAAAAGTTTTTATCCTAAACTGAGGTCAAAATTATAAAAAGAATTGGTTGAACGTGAATCAAACGAAACGCTTGTTATTGGTAGCCCTGAAAACAAATTTTTTTTTATTGAAATCTCTATCAGTGACTATATCAGAGATAGATAAATATGGGTCTACTGAGATAGATAGATAGATAGATAGATAGATAGATAGATAGATAGATATGATTATTGACAAAGATAGTTTGAGATAGCTGCAAATGAAGACGAAACAGCAAAGCACTATTGTATGTGCGTGCATGTGCATATACAAAATGATATAGATAGATAGATATATAGATATGGTTCTACTTAATATGTGTCCACTACATAGATAGATAAATACGCAAGTAGGTTTGTAGATTGATAGATACGTATATAGATAAATAGATAGATATGTCTCTATTGTAATAGGTTGAAAGTACTACAAATGAGTTGAAGAGACAAAGCAGCATGTATGTCGTCTGTGTCTACATGTGCGTATACAAAATGAGATAGTTGCGATCATGCTTATCGATAGATAGATAGATAGATAGATAGATAGATAGATAGATAGAACTTCCTTTGGATCGCTAGAAGTTGACTTATATATGTGTCTACTATGATAGGTTATTAAATATTCTACTGAGATAGATAGATAGATAGATAGATAGATAGATAGATAGATAGATAGATATGAACATGTGGACTCTTCCACAACAACCTAGTTAACCCCTGCTAGGAAATGCACTATTCTTCTTTTCACCATTACAATCTTACAAAATATACAAGTATTCATTGGTCAATCACCTTCAATCTAGCTTGCTGATTGGTCAGTTCCAACCAATCAAACCGCCTTCACGTGACCAATCTGTTTTCCCGCTCATATGCTGGGATCCTATCACATGGTACACGACCATTATATAAACCCAACACGTGGAAACTCCCTTGAGTTTTCTTTCTATTCATCTCTCTCTCTCTCTCTCTCTCTCTCTCTCTCTCTCTCTCTCTCTCTCTCTTTCTCACGTCTCATTCCTTGCTACCAAGTGCCAAGAAGTAATCTTCAAGAACTCCCGTCTTAACAATTGCGATCAGACGTTAAAGACCCTTTCCAACATTCACGCAAGTACGAACTCTGAAATCTCTTCTGAACATTTACCAACCTTGCAACTCACAATTCCAAACTTTATTCTTCTAAATTACAGTTTAATATTACTTCCTTTTAATATGAACTCAGGTACAACTAATATCTAATCAATGGGACACGACTCTATCCTACCTTTTTAGTTCGCATGCATGTATATCAAACATTAATAAATTCAATTGTTATGTTTTGAAATCATTCCGTTCAGTTTTGTATTTTATACTATGTGCTATTTACGTAAAATATTAATTGCATTGCGTCCACGCATTGTCCTTAATCCCACATTCTCTAGCCAAAGTTAAATATTGATAACACAATCACTACAATAATGACAACCCCGACGTCTGTCGTTCAACGTTCACAACCACAATGATAACATCGTCACTACAAGATTGGTGATCCCGTCGGAAAATACAATAATGGTAACCTCTATCGCTACAAACAGATTGGGTTGAATAGATAGATACAAATAGATATGAAAACCGAAATTTTCCTAAAAGGAAACATTTAAAAAATAATTTCATTCATTTCTGAAAAAGTCCCGCAACTTACATTTTAAAACCGAACAGTTATTTGATTTTTGCAAGTTTTTCATCATCAATGTGTTTTTCACTGCCAAAAGATTCCCCAAATCCCCGTACTAATATAATTTATAGTATTATGTTGACACAAGAAGAGCAAGATTTTTAACAAAATGGATTAAAAAGTCATTTTTATATTAAACATCCTTTGGTATTCTTCTTAATTGTAAAAGAAAGTTTTAATTTTTGACGATAAAACTTCATTTTTGTTTAGCCATTTTTCATCATTCATTCATGCCCTTTATCTTTGAATAAAGACACATTTTCTTTTATTTTGTACAGAGTGAAAATAGAATTAATCTGCACCTTCCTGCTCTCCTTGTCTACACAAAGTTTTATCCTAAATTGAGGTCAAAGAGAGAAAAATACATTTTAATATTATTTTATAGGATATAAACTCCTTTATTTTACGCTCAATAAATGAAGCAGAAACAAGTAAGAGACATCTACAAATGAAACTTACTAAATTAAATAGATACGAAAAACTTCTTTACAATTCTTACAAAACACGGCTCCAAATTAAATAACTGGTTTCTGGAATCTGATTGGATAGGACTATGCATGTCGTGTGCCTTCTATGACGCCCATGAGGTTAAACTCCAAATGACCTGGAAATGGTCTACCATCAGATTACCTATTATATTCCTGCGCAAAACTCAGATAGGATTCATGAGTCGAGCGCCAGCTTGCCATGAACTACGTAAATGGTTCTCCATTAACAGCGAAGGTAGTCAGTGAAATCACAGTCAGCGAAGAAGACACTGCCTTGATCAACATCCCATGACAATGCATCAGACAACGATGATTTTTCTAAATAAATGCCACGACGAAAGTTAGTCTTGTCCCCTCTCTCCTTGTTCAATGTATTTTAAAATTACTGCCACCGCATACAATCAGCCAACAGTCAGACACATGTTTCATTGGCATGAATTTCCCTCCGACACACACATATAAGTGTACCATACTACTTGATTTCTTCACTTGTAACAAAAACACTTTGAAACTTTGCAGACACATTTGCAATAAACCATTTCAATCAATAAAAGTAGTGGTCTCTTCATGGCCACAACAAAGAACGTTAAGTTTTAATATGTAAATACATGTACCTGGCTGTGTAAATGTTACTGTCATATTTAGCTTCTTTTTTTTCCTTTTCTGCGAAAATCATTTCTTCGCCTTGTATAAAAAAATATTGTGTTGTATTTGTTGACACGTGATTGGATATTATTTTTCCTCCTAAAATCCGGGTATACTGAACCGACATTTGAAATCTTGTTCTATATTGGAGTCATGGTGAGTGCTAAATAATAATAACTCCCTTTACTCATTCCCTTTATATTCGGAAGACCGAGGAAAAAGACGGAAAAAAAGCCGAGGTGAAATTGTTTTGAGGTCAATAAAAACATTGTCTCCACAGAAATTAGACATTGAGCCAAGAAGAAAGAAAAGAAATTAGCAAGCCTATACAAAATTCCTTCTGATATAAAATGAGGAAAAAATGAATTTAATTAGAGAAGATTGTCTAAAGTCATGTGAAAGATATCATTTCTGTTCACCGCATCAAGTTCTTGCCTGTATAAAATTATTCGTCAATTTTATTATCAGCCTTTAATCAATAAAAATAATAAATTGTCTTGTTTTGTTAAAATTGCTGTGTCTTTCCTCAGCATTACCATCCTCCATTAATCCTTTTGGAGCGGGCAAATCAACTGATCATTTTAACCTACGCGACTATAATCTGGTGACGCTTGATGTGCATGGAAACACATACTTATTTTATTGCCTTCTTCACAATGTCTTTCAATGGACGGGAGATGAATCAAGCATCAAGGGAGATCGGTGAATCAATACAAACGATATCCATTAAACCACCCATGTTCATTGAATCAAATGTGATTGCATGAAGTCAATTTAAAATTTGAGTGATGACCTACTTCTATATTTTAATAAGCAATCCCCCAGTCCCATTCAGCAGATTCAACCTAAGAATGAAAAAAGACACTCGTAGTAGGAATTATAAATTCCAATCTGCTGTAAAACCATATCATCAGAACTAGAAACCAAAAATATGTAGGACGCACATCTACTATGTGCATCATGCAAGATCTTGTCAAATATGTTGCATGTGTCCGAATAAGAGGAATATTAAACTAGAATCATCCTTATGACCATCTTCATCAGCACGTGACAAGAAAGTGTAAAACTTGTCTCAGGAGGTGATGGCCTCCACCTTTCTTTCCACCACTTGGAAGTAACCAGATATTTAGGTGCTCAGAAAATTACATTCATTGTGGATATAGGAGCTGCTGTATCAATTATTCCAAAGGATTACCTGACTAACACAATCCTATATCCTATGAATATCTTATGAATTCTCTTGCTAAAAAAAATAGAATTCTGATAAAATAAAAATTAATGTAAAAACTTAATAGAAATTTATTCCAGATAACATTACAAAACCATTTATGGGTTTTATTTATATATATATATATATATATATATATATGTTGGTGTAAAAATATCCATACATGACATTATCAGAAAATAAAAGTTGTGACTACAATAAATTTAAAAACAAAATATCTAAATTTTTACCTGTTTTTGTCTGTAATTTTTACAGATATGTCCTCCATCAAAAAAATTTTCAAACATAAGTCTATTGAGATAGTTATCAACACCTCATAAAAACACCCACCTCCATGTTAAAAGATAGTTTTCTGTAATATTTAAACTAAAAGTAATATTTGTTTCAAATCAGAGTCATTAAATTTTAAATCAGTTAATTTTCCTAAAATAAAGTTCCAGGAAAGTACATTTTATTTTTGAAAAATGTTTTTAATAAAGAGAATAACATTTCACTGAAAGAATTGTAAATATGGCTAAAATTAGCAATTTAAAAAAAATAAACACATTCTAATCAATTTAAATTTATTTTGAAATACAACAAACTATTTTATTTATTTCAAATATTATATTTAATCTATAACCTTGAATTAAAACTAAAATAAAAACCTCAAGGAAGAAATTTCATTTTTAAAAATTCAAACATTTTAGGTATTTCTTCACCTGCAATAATATAGCTTAGAAACATATATTTATGTCCATTATTTCTCAAAGTTGCATAAGATTCACTGTTAGAATACATTTACAATGAAATACCAAACTTTTCTATCTACAGTGCCTAGAATATAAAGAAAATCATTTAAATATGTAATCAGTCAGTAAGGCTTTCATTAATTCCTGACCATTATATGTGAATGTATATTTGTATGTAGATGTATGTGTGTGTTTAGTTATGCTTGTACACCACAACAAATGCAGGATACATTTGATCATCATTGTAGGCAACATAGATTGTTGGATTATTTTCATCATTCACTGTCGATTGAAGATGATCTGGAATATTCACCTCAGTATATGAACCATCTCCAAGACAATATGCACCTGCAACAACGTAGCTGAGAAACATATATTTATATCCATCTTAGCTTGTAGTTGCATAACGTTCATTGTCAGAATAATGTGCATTTACAGCAAAATAGCAACCTTTTCCATATGCAGCATCTAGAATATAAAGATATAAATATTATTTAAATATTGTAATCAGTCAGTAAGGCTTGTGGTCATTCCTGACCATTGACAATCCCTTACTTCCTCATTTTCAATGCATTCCTATAGTAAAATAATTAGAAATGCATTTACATTATACATATAATTGCCTTATTCTATCAGTAATGCTTGCATTCATTCCTGACCACAGACAATCACTTTCTCCCTCATTTTCAATCCATTCCTATAGTAAAATCATTAACAATATACTTACATTATACATATAATCAATTATTTTCATTACAGTATTACATTGATAATTATTTCATTATAAAAATGCATTGAAACTAAATCTTCTGTAGTTATGAAATAAAAATTGATGACAGCTTTATTATAAAATGCACTGAAACTCTATGATTAAAAATATAATGAACATA